CCCCAAAACCCCAAAACCCCAAAACCCCTATCCACAATTTTACTGCTGAAATTTACACAGGAGCGATAATTTTCAGCTCTTCTGAGGCTATTGATAGTTTAGTAGAAGTTTAGGAAATTCTCACAGTTGCTGATGACACTATCCAGCTCTAGTCATGGATCCTAGATGGGTTAAGCATTGACATGTACCATCAGGCTCCTTTGTTTGGTACTTTTCTTCATCCTTTTTGTCATATTTCTTGCTGGAATTTCTTTAAAAGACTGAACTAATTTAGTAGATGAACGAGATTTGATGATTCTGGCTGGTAACTTGTTGAAAGTGTCTTTATTCTGAGCCAAATTTGCATTTAGATGCGAATCTTGCTTCATCAGAAAGCCGTCCTCTCCTCTACATAATTAATATGTTAAGGCAAGAGTTTTGAGTACCTTGAATTATTCTTTTGGTGTATACTAGGCTGATCTGTAGGAGCCAGGACTTTTCAGCGGCTAAATTTTGGTAAGATACCTCTGAATCCCATTTAAAGTTCAAGTCTTACTATGTAGAGAATTGTTGTGCAGAGTCATCAACCTTCGATGTGTGCTCTATTTTTGAACTGTCAATAACAGAAAGGCTTCTTCTACTAAACTTGTAAGAAGTCTTAGCTCTTATTTTGCTCCAAAGCAGTTTCCTCTTTTCCTCTAGGATATCCTCATCCTGAAGTGTTCGGAACAGCTTTGCTTGAGATTCTGTCTGAAACTTTGGCCAGCTAGGCCGGCTAGGCTTGGCCTTGCTAGGCTTTTTTGATTTTTGCCTCTTCTACACCAAGGTTTATAGGTGACATGAGTTGGAGGAAATAGCCGTTTTAAGACAAAAGTGTACCTTGAATTTTACTCTTTTACTTGATAAAATTTTGTTTTCATCAGTTTTGAGAATTTTAAGGGTCCGATACTTTAGATTCCCTTTATTTTGTGAACGATCTCTGCCTTGCACAGACTTTGTATCAACTCTATAGATAATCAATTTGCTTTACTCTTGATAAGATACATTTTCAACTAGATTGGAGATATCCTTGACGTTACGGCATCTGAATATTGGAGGAGAAGCAATAGTCTGGTAATCTGCTCTCTTCTCCGGCTTCTTCATTACCACATGTTTCATTGTATTTTTAAGTGATTTACAAAAGTCAATATGAAGAACTGGTATCTTCCTGTCTGTTGTGCACATTTTGGTAGAAAACTTTTCCTTCTGTAGCTTATGTTTCAGAAATTTAGCTAAGAATTCATTAGAAGCCATTACCAAGCCTCTTTTCTTGAACTTATTGGCACCATACTAGAGGATTCTAAGTGGGGTCTTACCTTCTCGAATCCGCCAAGAGATGTGACTCTGATAGGAGCATTAGTCTTTCTTCCGAGTCTATTTTTCACTTCTGTATTTAGTAATTTCCTTCTGAAGCTTCTTGTCATCTGTTGTGATGGCTACCATTCCTCTGCGTCTCTTGGTAACGCTACGTTGAGCTACATATAAGAGCAAGCTTACCCATTAGTTTTACAGATTTTTCCAGTCGAAGCTTTGGCATTGTCTTGCTCCTGATTCTTACGGACTTTGACTTGCATAGTGCTGTTTGAGATTTTACCAGCATATTTTTAGAAAGTATTATAATATAAATGCCAATAAATCTCCTGAGATTTGGGGTTTTGGGGTTTTGGGGTTTTGGGGTTTTGGGG